TTGTTGCAGCCCTAAACCAAATCTCTGACTACTACACAGAGAACAATTTAGCTTTTCTGCAACAAAAACTTAACTTTAGAGAGCAAAAATCATGAATCCTAGGCTACTTCAACATCTATGGACAAGCCCTATTCAAGTGCAGTGTTGCTGACCTTTACCCTCTACAGAGACAGAAGATGCACGGTGTAAAATTGAAGTAAACATCGACACACAAAAGTTTAATAAATCCCTCTGTGCAGACTCTGAATCATGCTCAAAATGCCTGTAACCCCCACGTGGGGTCAAAGCCACAGTATGTTCCATGAAACCAAACAACACATTCATTACTCTGGTTGTTTAGTCTGAGGCACACTGTTGGCATCATTGCTTCTCTGACTTACAGAGCTAATCCCAAAGTGGTGAGGTCTTCCGAATACGTCGTCATCATTTTCAATGTCTGGCTTATGTACGTATTATTGCTTGTTTGTTTCGTTCAAGCCAAGTCAGAGCACGGTGACATCCATCTCAGCTGATCTGTATCAGTCTTATTCAAACAAATTGTTAAATATGGGATGTAGTATTTTGTGCGTAGTTTTGTATAACTTGCTAAAAAGAATAAAACTGACCTTTTTTTTCTGTGGTTCGATGGAAATGGTGACCGTTTCCCTGACCTTTGACCTATGTTTAATGTAGCTGAAGGTGTAGTGAGAAACTTTTGTTTTAAGTTGGAGCTCAGGAGAAAATGCCGTTGCTTCAGTGCTCAAATGCAAATTAAATTTACTCAAACACTGTTCAAAGTATCTGTACTGAAGTATTTCCATTTCATAACACCGGGTTATTCCGTCAGTCTTGTAATAATCTACAACTACAATCTTTAAAGGTCACTACTATTACTCATTTCACTTCTGTCAGTCACATACTGTGGCATACATATTTTAATTTAAAATGTTTACTTATATGCATACACCTATATATACACACACGTTCTGTATATATTGTGTTAGATATTGTTATATAATTTCTATTCTTTAAACTTTAATAACTGACAAAACAAGATCAAAACAAGCACTCACTTTGAGCTCTGGGTATTGTCTTACTTTCTTACTTTGTCTGAAATTAACTTTTTGACTCACCGGCCCAGGAAGTGACTGGGAGACAGTCCAGTGGAGGTCATACAGTACCGTTACCCCGGCTACTCTGTAGTTTCACCTGACAGAGGAAAGCAGAAGGACAGGTGGAATTATTGAGTCAAAAGTTCATCAATTTTCCATCTGCTTTCCTGTCAGCAGTCAACCCCTGAGAAGCATACGAGGACAACTTATATCACAGGTTCACATGAGTACTGAAGAGGAATTTCCATCCTCTGCTCCACAGATGCTAGAACACCATCCAAACATTTGTGTATCATTGCAGGTGTCGACTATACCGTAACCACTGAGTCAAATAAGAGAAATGCATGCGTTGTCCAGGTGCTCCAAAAAGTACATTGAGTCCAAATGATTTATCTACAGTGAAGTGGAGTTATCTGAACATAAAACACACACAAGCAACTGTGCAGCAACTGACTGAGCCAAACAACAGTCAACCTCCTCCAACAGAGGGGACAACATCTCTGTAGAGATTCATTTAGCAACAGATAAGACATGTGCAAGAGTGTGTCATCTGTTCCACTCAGCAGTAGTCCATTTGAGTGTTGGAAAGAGAGTGCAAATGTTTATCCCATGCCTGCTTCACTGTCAAAGCCTGTAAACAACACTCGTTTCAGTACAACAACAATTAAACAACATGTGCCGCTTGTCAGGCACTCCACAACGACACTGATCGGTGTTTTCTATCGCCTTTGTCGACAGAACGCCATCATTTGTCAGCGAAAGATTGTGTTTAAGAGTTGCTGATTCAGCTTTTAATTTTGGAGACTGTAAGAGGCGTTTCTGATATTCAGCCCACCCTAGACAAATTATTAGAAAAACCTGTGTTAATATAACACAATACAGTTCAACGGCATCCCAATCTGCAGCATAAAAAATTACCATAAAGTTGAATCAAACACCTCCCTGAAATAGCTTAATCAAAGAATGAATATTATAACCTTTTAGAGGTAGTTTGAGGATGTGTATGTTACGTCACCAATAACTTTCAGCCCATAAAAGTCTCTAACAGCAAAGCATCATATTGTAGTAGGTGCACCACACAGCCAAAAGACAATGAGCTCACACAATACAAGAGATTAAATCAGAATTAATAAAAAAACCACAAAAAAACCCACTGTAATATGGCTAAAATGATCATATCACAATTGCAATATCTGTCAAAATAACCACAATATGATGTTTTTACTGTATCATGCAACCCTATATTCAATGCAGCCAAATAGCCTGGAACCACAAAATGACTTCATTATTTAAAGTAGTTCCAAATTAATTTTCTGTCAATCAACTAATTGATTAATCAACTAATGCTAATCTCTCAGCTGTACTTGGAACACAACAGCATGTTTTATAGGCTCTTTATGTTTTATATGCAAACAAAAAAAGCTTTGTTTAAAGTAAGCTAAGTTGGAATAGAAGCTAAAGCTGTCAAATAATTGCAGTAAAAAGTAAAATATTTAAAGACTCAGGTAAAGAAATAGCGCCAAAAATCCACTCAGGAACATCCAGAAAATACTTATATTGGTGAAATGAAGCAATTGTCCCCAATCTCAGAGAAGAATAAACCCTTTGACTCTTAAACGGTGGCAGGAAAACTCGACATTAACCGTTGGTCGGTTGGTGGGCGGTTACACGTCTTCCGGGTGGATATAACGTCCATCAACAGGTAAAACTCCAGGCTTATATATAGCTCGCCATTGAGGAAGGGTGCGTTAGATTTATGTTCCAGCTTGTGCCATATGTGAGTGAGATTTTTTTTTTTTTTTTTTTTTTTTTTAAAAAAAAATATTTCTTATATAAAAATTTTAAATAGGGAAAAAAAAAAAAGATAATTTTGACCAATGATAATAAATAATTAATTAATTCTTACAGATATTTTATATATTTTTATTCGCAGTCTGCATTTTTGTTTTTAAATGTATTACTTACATTGATTTTTTTTTTTACAATACATTAAATTTCACATTTAGTACTACTTAAATATTAATTAAATTTAAAAAAAAAAAAAAAAAAAACCAATTTTTCTTTTGTTTTGGTTGGTTGTTTTCGGTGGGGGGGGGGGGTTTTAAAGAGGTTTAAAGGGGGAAAAAAAGGGGGGGGGGGAACTTATTTTTTCACAGATTGTCTGTCTCATGTTCTACTATCAGGATATAGTAAAAGTGTTAGCACATATCACATCAAATATTTTTATAAAAATGACCTGCTGCAGCTTTAATAATTTACCAACAAAACATATGGTCAGTTTATAAAAATATAATGCTGTGCTATTAGATTACTTTAACTAACAGTATATAAGATATAATATTAAAATGCTGCTTGTGATCAAGTACTTTTACTGTACTCATATGTACATTTTGCTGTGGTATTGCTACCTTTAAGTAAACAATAACAGTATTTATTCCACCATCTTTACATATAAAATATTTTTTTACCATTACATTTATTAGGGTATTTTCTGTAATTACTCATTTTGTCCTTTTCTAGTGTATTTCTGAGTGGAATAAGAAGAAACATCCCCAATATCACACTATAAAAACTCTTTAATAGAAGTAAAAACTTCAATAAGAATCATACTTGAGTAAAAGTTTTAAAAGTAAATGTACTTGTTATGAAGGAAAACACCCTCTGTGAGTCATTTTTATCATATATTGTATAACTAGATCATTAATAATGTCATACATGTCAGATGACAGGGTTTTTGCTGTTGTCAGAAGAATAAAGGGGTCATGAGTAAAACATATCTTCCATTAGTCACCCGACCACATCCTGCAAAGGTAACAACTTTTGTGTCACTTCACTTCCTCCAAACTCCTCTGCACTCACCCACAAAACATGTGTTATACAACTCGCCCTGCAAGCAGCTCTGTTGAAGTTGAAGGAAACAAATTAAGACTTTCTTTCTGAATAAGCATCTCGTACAATGCACGGCGTTGTTCTCGAGGGTCAAACTGTCCACTTTATTCTTTTTTATAGACTTCCCAGCAGCTCACTCCCAGTAATAGAATATATCTGTGATTTAAATTGCATTTCTTTTTTAAAAAGAACAATGATCCCTGTTTTCCTTGGTTTTTATTTTTATATATAAAGTATAACTACATTCACAGAGCTTCTGCTATTTATTTAAGGGATCCATAGTGCCCTCTAGTGAGCAATGGTGGCAAGTAGCTTAACTCCAGTACTGTGCTTTTGTACACTTTTGAGGTATTTTACTCAGAAGGTTTCATTTAAATGATTTATAATATAATATTTAAGCTCAAAGAGGTAAAAAGATCCACAAAAGATTGGAGAAAAGTCCAAAAAATTTGTAAAAATGGGCAGTTTTTCCTTCTTTCCTCTCCCATTAATTATCTCCCAACCCCAGATTCATATTGCCATCTATAGTAACAATAATAATGCATTTTATTCATAAAGTACATTTGAAAACATAGTTATAAGTGCTTCACAACAGCAAAATAAAACAGAATCAGATAGAATAAAAGCATTAAAAAGAACATAAAAGTATAAATGAAGAACCCTTTTCTGCATAATGAGAACTTTTCTTACTTTAAGTACATTTTGCTGATAATACGTCTGTTCTTCCCTTGAATGCAGAGCTTGTAATGTATTTTTAGATTGTTGCAGAGGTGGAAAAAAAGACTAGAAAGTACTGATTCAACTTCTTTTAAGTAAAAAATGAAAAACTACAAGATCTGGAAGTGCAAAAGTAAAAAAGTAGGACATTTCTACCGGCTGTTTCTGTGCAAAGCTGAGTCTTCCTCATCTGTTATGTGTGATATCCACTGTAAAGAGCCTGTTTTAAATAGTGTAAGGTGTATATAAGTGCAGATATTTGGGTAGAAATGTAGAGAGTAACAGTAAAAAAGGACTCTAAAATAACCAAAAGCAGAAACCAGCGACTTTATTACATACTGCATGTCCTTTTCAGCATAAATACATCAATTATCAACATCAGAATATATATGGCTCTGATTTCAAGGTACGTAAATCACTCAACAAAATACCCTGTTTTTGACAAACAACCAGTACAAAGTGCACAAATAAAGTTGGCTTCAAGTCGACTGCATCACATTACAGAACTGCTGTTGTGTTTCTTAAGAAGAAAAAAAATACAACTGAATTAAAGCTTACATTCAAAAAAACAAAAACAACCTTGGGAGGGTCTGTAATTGTCATGGGATAGTATTAATTATCTCTGGTGCTCACAGACGTAGTGACCAATGCATCGTATTAAAATGGCACACATACACACACGCACACATATACACACACGCAACTTAATTATAAACATATTTGGCACCAATATTTTAGCATAGAAACATAAAAATATAACTTGCAATACAACATTGTTAGTAATATGGAGGTAATACTTGGATTTTGGCACATTACAAGAACACTCAAGGTTTTTTTAAAAAGTTCATCCCGCTCGTTACATGCTCCGCCTTCGTGGAAAAGTTACGAATATAAACCCCCCTCCCCCACACACACTTATAGCATGAATTCCTCAACATTAAAATGGTCTTTCTTTAAAAAATAATAGATAAAAACAAGCATTAGCTCACAAACAGGGCGACCGACTAGAGACTTCTCCATGTTAGTGATGTCCAGTGATGCTCAATGAGAAGGAAAAGCTCCAGTTTTTCCCTGAAAAGTTCAGAAACTTGGTCGCCATGATGAGTAATGTAAACAAATAAGTCAAGCGTGACTTCTGTAAACCCTTAAAGCAGAGGTGTCATCAAAAATCTAACAGACGTAATCATATATTGCACTCTAGAAGGAATCATAAGTCCTTATACTGCACGGCGGCGGGGGGGTCGTCCTGGCCTGTTCAAACCATATTGACAAAGAAAAAGTTGGTATATAGATATAGAATTAATAAGGTATTCAGTAATACTATGTTTATTATAACATCTTGTGTATATTAACATTGATATATAGATTATTTCAACATTATGATATGAAAGATACATATTTATAAATTGCTATGAATATAGGCGGGGTGCCTCTGTTGAACAGACGCAGCGCCAGTTATAACATAATAACTATTCTATGATTACGTATTTTCATCCAAACAAATACAAATAAATGCTTTTTCACACGTGGCTCACGGAGTAAACCGATGTGAAACTCCATAGTGAGTGTGGATTGAAGCCTCCCATGCACAGAGAGGTTTCAACACAGGTCGAGACTGGTTTTTAAAAACAGGCCAGCGTGAACCTTTTTAAAAAAAAACCTCAGCATGCATGCTAAGTAAAGTACAACAGCGATCTCTGGTGGACACGTAGAAAAACTACTTTAAAAAGCAGAGATAATGTAGATTTGTGTGGTGAGAGCACATTAAAACACACCAATCTGCAATAAATAATGTCAATAATGGCCGACGACGAACAATCTCTAGTATCTTATTTCAGCCTCTCAACCTCAACATTTACCTCGTGTATATTTGCACCAACATATATATAAATATTTAAATATATATATGTTAGATTCACATCAGTATTCTATCTTAGAGCAGCAGAAACACATACGCACTGTATACTGTATGGACAGAAAACAAGGAACAAACAATTCCTTTCATTTCGTGGAATCTGTGTAAACCTCAGTCTGTGGTGGGGCACAGCACTATGTGTTGAGATGTGAGCTAGTGAGCATATAACTCCAGCTATGTATGTTTGTCAGAGACAATGTAAGGTTTTTTGTTTTTATGCTTCAGGCTTGAACTGGCAAGCTGCCCTGACTCCTTGGTAACTCCACTGTATCTTCCACAGATGTACCAAACCACCAATCAGAACCACCGACCCCTTAATAGGAAACAAATACGCAAACACTAACTTTTTTTTTTTTTTTTTACACGTAGATAGCCTGGTTCCAAAGACATGCAGGCAATGTCCACCATCACGGATGGCTAATTCACTAACAAGTTTCAAACAACAAACGAGGAAAACCTTCATGTCGAAAAATAAGGAGCAATTTCATACTCAAAGAAACGCCTGGCGGCATGCGCGAAAGGAAAAAGGCAAAAAGGAAAAATGCCTGTAATCTTATTCATAACATAACTCCACGTTTGTCTATGCAAATTCACTCGACACTGGAATTGAGAAGCTCACAATATCCACAATCTGCAGGTTAAAATGAAAGGAAGAAACTGCATCAAAGCCATGCTCTAACTCTATTATAAGTCTACTGCTTTCTACAGTGACATCAGAATGATCACATCAACTATCTGTAATCTACAATCCTCTTCTAACGCCCCCGCCCTCCCCGAGTCTTCAAACGTACTGCAGGAGATATAAAATTAAAGATGATATACACTCTTTTGCACTCAACGCCTGCGCTGACCACGCTGCAACAGCGCTCGCTTTGTTGTCTGAAGTGACATTTGTATCACCGTGAAAGTGGCGTAACGATGTCAAAAGAAAAAGGTTTTGCACCCACAAAAATGTACAGCGATAACGGTGGTTTCTCGCATGAAGAGAGACCACCGGATATGACGATGCTGGTGCCGTCTGGACGCAGCAAACTGCGGCCGCACGCAGCAGACAGTTGCAAGTCTCCCTAAAGCTCAACAGGGGACATTAAGATGCCCGAACAGCGAACCACGATTGAGCCAAAATGAAGCCTTAATGGTCGCAAGAGCTGCCTGGTTTCGCCCCAAAACTGTACCAACCGCCCCCCTCCCACAGCGCGGAGGTCGCCTAGAGGCCGGTGAGGTCCACAATCGCCTTGATGAAGATGGTGTCGTCGCGGATGTAAGAGTTCTTGGCATCGAGCTTGGAGAGCGGGCAGAAGAGCGGACAGCCGCTGGCGATGTTCATCTCGCTCACGGGTCGCTGGAAGGAAGAGGAAGTGACGTCCGGGCGGAAGGCGTCGATGATGTGCTCACGGTTGCTCTGGTCCAGCAGCATCAGAGTCACCTGGATGTGAGACGGGAGAGGGAGAGAGATTATGTTTCGCTCAATTCCTGGATCTTTATGGGATCATGATTATGTTATTTGACTCTCCGCAATGGAGTCAGTATAGCCTAATATAATATAATATAATATAAACTCAACCTACCTCTTCAGACTTTTAATTAAAGATTCTGTTTAGACATTTTTTAATCCTTCTTATTGATTTTATTTGTATTTTATTTAGTTTCTGTTATAGCTTTTATTAAACACCATTTATTATTGTGTCTATTAAATCTATTATATTGTATTATCTTTGTTTTACATTTTTATTTCTATTTTATCTAGTTTTTATTTCTCTCTGTTATGGTCCACACTCCTTCTCACTTTCCACTGCACTAACCTGTATGAAACTATACAAATAAAGTTTGATTGATTAATATTGCTGTTTTATAACTTTACACTACACCAAATACATCAAAAAGGTCTGTGTTTCACTTCCAGGTTGTTTGTGGTCTGAAAAGTCCGTCACAAATTACTCTCATACTTTTTGACTTTAAGAGGGCAAATTAACAAAGACTACAGATCTAAAAGACTGCATTCATCCCCCACGAGGAAGACTATATGTGAGGAAACATTAAACAGCTGGATGTTGTCAGCTCAACAGAAACATAAGTGATTTACTGCCTCATGAAAATAAAATGTTAACAGATAGAAAAGTAATAAAAGGTCATACTGCACTGGATATAAGCATTTAAAAGTTAGTAAAGATACATATTCAAGCAGTAAAAACATGACAAATAAAAGGTTGCATGAGCCCAAAAATCATATTTTCTTTGATGTTATTGGTGCAAAACCTCAGTACAGTCCTTCAGTAAATAAGAATAAACACAATGTGACTGTTTACGGCCTAAAAAGGGGCCACAATCTGTTCGTAAACACCCCCCTTTTTTGTCTTTTACCTTCTGGTTGAAAGGCCATTTGAGCAGAGCGTCACTCAGTCCCCTCATCACCACAAAGAACAGGGACAAGTGGCTGCCACGCCCTGTCCCATCTCCGTTCAGGTAGATCCGCAGACACATCTTATAGCCGTACTTACTGGTGTAGAAGGCTGAAAGCAAAGAGAGATTCAGTCTAACTGGAGTTGGGTGCAATATCGATATTTATAAGCATAAGCACCCAAAATTCTGCAATAATGGACCACGTTACCTGGTGAAAACATGGCAGGGGCTCGACCTGCGATGGCATCTTGTCTCTTTTTGGCGAAATCGGAGATCCTCCAGACAAAGACGCCGTCAAAGGTAGTGGCGGACATTTCCCTCAGCCGGCCCTCCATCTCAGCAACGGTGAGGTCCTTCAGCCCCACGGTCCTCTCCAGCTGTCGCACCTGGAAGTAAACACACATTAATGGAGGATATATATTTATTGTTATTTACAGAATAATTTGGACTGTTAGTTGTACTATTACATGATTTAGGACAACACAGGCCAGAAATGTGTCTATAAATGGATTCAGTAGATTGTCAAGAACCATGTTGATGAACGTTAATAATGTCAAAGAAATATATTGATAATGCAACATGAATAAAGTTAATAATAATGGATTTTGTCATCCTTTCTCTTACTTCTGTTTGTTTTTGCACTGTTAAGTTTTGGAACTACATTTCCCATAATGCTTTGGTGGCTGTAAACAGGAAGTAAAAGTATGCCGAATTAAACTTCCAGCTGTTCCTGTTTGCAATGCACTCATGGATGTTCAGACAACTATCACTGGATGACTTTAACACTGAAGAAAACTTAAAAGCGTGATGATTCTTAGGCAAGTTCTGCAGTTATAAGGATTTTTTTCTGAGCTTTCTAAGCAGATTTATGGATGTTTACTCGTGATGGACATCCAAGATAAATACATGAAGAAGTGTAAGTTACAGAGAATCTAAAAATATGTGTATCATGTCTGTGAGTTTACATTTGACTGACCTTATTAGTCAGAGCCTCGATCTTATCCTGGTCCAGTTTGTGCTGACGGTTGCTAGCTTCCATGGTGGTGGCAAACCTCTCCACCTCTCGGTTCAGGACGCACACCACATTTTCAAACGTGCCGGCTTTGACTTCGAGTTCCGTACACCTGCGACCAAGCTCAACCACCTTGGTCTTCTCGCTGTGGAGCTGCAGCTCCAGCGCCGCTCCCACCGAGCTGGGCAGGGGTGTGAAGGAGGTGGACACGGACAGAGTGGGAGCCAGAGTGGGCGGCGGAGGGAGCGGAGCTGAAGCGGGTGGACCAGGAGGACCGGAGCTGGAGGATGAGGAGGAGGCGGCGGCGGCTGCGGCTCCCTGCACGGGAGGCCCAGAGGAGGTGGTGCTAAGCTGGGAGACTCTGGCCTCGAGCTCCCTGAGGGACTGTTGGAGCTCCACCAGTTTGTGTCCGGCTAGTTCCAGTCCCTGGGGCTGCAGGCCCTCCATGCTCACTTTCATGCCCATAATGTAGTGCAGCAACAGATTGAGGTGCTCGTAGGCATAGGTGCGCTCGTGGTCATGAATCTTTTCCTTTTCCACCTACAAGACGAGAGGAAATAGAAACAATAAATGCATGAAATCTGGAGGGGGTTCGATTTTTTATCATGTTTTATTTAAAATAAGAATCTTTGTATCAGAAAGAATACAAAATATATCTCCAAATAATATATTTATGCATAATAAGGTAGTATATTACAGCTACACACTGTAATTGTTAATAAAGAGCTGTGTAATAAGTTTATTACAGCCACAGAATGAGTGAAATTAATACAGAATATGAATTAGATCAGATGGGTCGGTATGTTAGGGGCGATTCTTTCAGTATTCTTAAATATCAAAACAAAAGTCTGTTCCTACGATTAAAAAAAAGAAGTCCTTAATCTAAAAGTGTATATATAAAAGTGATGATTATTAAATATACTCACAGACATATCACATCCCACGACATGAAAGCGACACGGAGTTCTGAATTTGCTGCAGAATTTAATGTGATCCACATACTGAAAGTAAACAACACAATACAAAGTGTTATTAGCAAAGTTAGAATAGGAGCTAGTAGCCACAGTTTGTTCCTGGTTACATTTGAGTTCACACAGCTGAGCATTATGGGTTTAATAGTGGTTCTCAACCTGGGGTAAGGGGATCCCCAGGGATCTTTTAGGGGGGTCCAGGAGGTCCCCAGAATATTGTTTTATTTATTTTATTTGTGCCATAAAATTCAAACATTCCTTCAAATAATAAACAAACGTTACATTTTATTTTATGGCCGCATGTGTATATTTCATAAAATAGACAAAAAAACAAACAACAAAAAAAGGTCGTAATTTTATGTTTTATCTCCTTTTTTCATCTCATTCACCTTTTGTTTCCATTGTTTTATGTTTGTTTGTGGCCGCAACTGCAGGGTTGTAATAGTTGTTTTGTCTATTAAAATTAAAACCTTTAATAAATATATTTAGCTTTGTGCCATTTGTTTTCCTGAGAGGTTGCCTAAGACAAACTTTTCAAATTACTACTATTTAATATTAAAGGAATATTAAGGGGGAGGAATTTTTAATTAATTTACTAATTTACTTACTTTGAAAAGGAGAAAATATTTTAAAGAAAATTTTTAGGATCCTAAAAGACTCTGCTAACACCTATAACAATAACCAGATGTCCCTTTTCTCCCTTTTGCTCAAAATCTGTTTTTTTTTTTTTTTTTTTTAAAAAAATATTTTTTTTAAAAAAATTTTTTTTTTTTTTTCTTCCTGGAAAAAAAATAAATTTTTTTTTTTTTTTTTTTTATTTTTTTTTTTTTTTTTTTTTTTTTTTTTTTGGGGAGGGGAGGGGGGGGGTTGGAAAAAAAAACTAAAAATGTTCAGCTGTGTGCACCTATCTCACCTTTTCTCTGGGGATTTTCTTCTTGGCACAGCCTTCACAGATCATCGGGTACTTGGGACAGATCTCATCATGTGCCTGAAACAAAAAGAGTTTCTTATGAAGACACACGAAGAGCCGCTGTGATGTGCCGCACCGGCCCAGGACAAGTCTCTCAGCCTCCCAGCGAGTGTAAATAAATCATGTCCTAACCTTGATGTTTTTGAAGTGAAATGGCTCCTTGCAGTACTTGCAGTTGAGCGTCCTCTCCGGGCACTCTCGCTCGTTGTGGCGCTCCTGTTCGTTGAAGCGAATTCGCTCTTTGCAGGAGGGGCAGGGGATGATCATGAACTCGCACTTCCCCTCGTGGTTCATCTGTGGAGAAAAAGGAGAGACTTTGTATACATATAGCATTAGCAAGAGAGGCTAAGCTACCAAGATGTCCAGACTGGGTTGGCCCGAGTGGGGCACTAATTTATGACGACGGCAGCTTATGTGACATATTTTATGGATATATTTTATATTATATTCAAAACTGTACAATGAACCCAAACGGTGAACTTAGTAACTCCAGGAAGTTTGTGTAAAACGAGAGATTTGGATGAATTTTGAGCAGATTATTTCCTGTTTTGGGAACTTTTTATATAATTCTCTGTCTGTATTATGTATTTTTTATACTTTTTAAAGACTTAATAGGCTTCTTTTTTCTACAAATTCACTGATTTCTTGTCCCTGACACTTGGCTTTTGTTCTATTAGACAATTAACTTTACATTTATTTACCCCCAAATGAAGCTTTGGTGATCCCTTGTGCACGTCCCGACTCCCAGATTGGGAACCACTGCTTTACCTTATTGTCAATATATCAAACCACACCGGTTTCTAGTTTGTAGTTGCACAGTTTCATAATGATAATACTTTAAAGTCAAGGTAAAAAAATTGGTCTCTCTGCAATTAAATGGCTACTATGGAAGTTTACATCATCCTACGTCACTATAGTTGGGCTCATTTGATCCACAAGAGTCTGAGCTTTCTAGTATTACCCAAATTTATGCAATTCCAACACTGTTTACAGACTCCATAGTTGGCACCTATGGAAGCGTTAGTTCATCTAGTTTCATATGATACCGTCAGTATGCTGGAATATATAATAAAAATATATACAACTGGACTCTCTGCTTTCTCGTCATACCCAATCTATGTAATTCCAACACTGTTTATGGACCCCAGTGTGCAGAAATATTTAAATACAACAGGCAAAACTGCATATTTTTTACCTAAAACACCAAACATAAAGTGGGCAAGTTTGCAAAGAGGAGACTCATTGGAACCGATTATCATTCAGATATCTTGAGATCAGATATAAACGGACCACTTTGAAAATGTATCCTAACTTTGGAGCTTTATTTAGCTCCCTTTCCCAACAAGTTAGCATGACATGGTCGATACCAATGGATGCGTTAAGTCATCTAGTTTCATTTGATACCAGTATCTTCACTCTCGCTTTAAAAACAAAATCCTGAGCGTGGGTCGAAGTTCAGCTCACCTCGTACTCTTTAATGCTGCCTTTCCAAGTGCAGTTCTCATTGATACAAACAGCTGAAAGGTGTTCAACTTCCCTTCGCACTGCATTGTCAGGAAAAGCCTTAAAGAACAGGAGAAAACAAAAAGGATTATATAGATTATTTATGCTAAGGGAAGCCGAATATTCAACAGTGACTCTATCTGTACACGTGTTTATCTTTCAGGGCGTTGAGAAGAGCAAGAATCACATTTTGTCTGCTCACAAACACAGAACGAGGAAGGTTTTTTTTGGCTTCCGGCCCCTCGAACACGAGAATTGCGACTGCAGATCAGCGAGCCGTGAATGTCGGATTCGGAGGCGAGTTCGTTCTCATCCATTATTACGAGGAACGGAAAGACATTTCTTGTCCAGTCTGCACATGTTTATAGACGGAAATCAAGAAGAAGCAACATAAGAGGACGTGTTTCTCTTTAGTACCTGGAACAGTATGGTCCAAAAAGGCTGGAAAAAGCACTTAGAGGCACATTTTATTGTGATATATTGGTTAAAGTATCTCTATCTGTTGCCAGCGATGGAGAGTAACTAAGTATATTTACTATTTTGAGCTATTTAACTTGAGTTTTCCGGTTTTTTATGTTACTTTAAACGTCGACTCTACAGCACTTCAGTGCTTTTAATCCACTAAATTCCTTTTGACAACTAGAATTTCAGATTTTGCATTTGTATTGTATTCCCAGTTTCCCTTTTAAACTTCTCTCTACAGTATGAAAATGGTAAAAATACATTAAGTGAAGGTTAAAGTTAAGTTTTAGTATCATTTATAAACCGGATGTTCTCCCACAAATAACAGGTTAAATGCTGTGAAAGGTGCCAAACATCTGGAATTATTATTATTTTATATTGAAACTGAAAATATTTTCACAGCAGGTCTACATCTGTTACACCGAGCAGAGACGTCAAAATGAAACCAAAAGTGGTTTAAACTGATTTAAACTGGTCAAAATGAAACTGAAACTGATGTAAAACAGACAAAAATAATCTAAGACGAGTTTAAACTTGTTAAAATTGGTCAAAATGTAACTGATTACTTCATCGCAGAAGATGTTTTTAAGCCCTGAAGACATTTATAACTACTTATTTCAGGTTAGTTTTCTGATTACTGAGTATATGTAAACAGTATTTGTAAATCTATGTTTAAACTATACTTTTCTTTTAGGTTTTAAATGTTAATTCACGTGTTACTGATAAATAAAGTTATTATAATTGTTATTTACATGCACCTTCAAAGTAAAGCTAAAACAATAAAGACAAACATGCTCTACTTCCAGCTTTTATATGACAGTAAACTGAATATATTTGGACAAAATGAGACATTTTAGGACATAAACGAAGCATTTTTCACAGTTTTCTGACATTTTAGGGAGCAAACGATCAATCGATTTGATGGAGAAGCTCATTAAAACTGGAGCCATTCAATAAAACATATCAATACAAACTTTTTAAGTGGATAAAAATACATTAAAACTCACACATCCTTGTTTCAAAATCGATGTGGGCTCCTCAAAAATATCCTCTTTAATGCAGGCGTTGCATTTCTGGGGTCCATTACTGCAATAAAACAACATTATACACTCATAAACTGCAGAATCCAACACATGCACACATCAGATACGCACTGGGGGAAAAGTACTGGAGTATTTCAGTTACTTTATACTTTTATTTGACACCTTAAGTTACTTTTCAGGTTCATATTATGAACAAAATAAAGCAAATAATCGTGTATTATTACAGATTAAACCACCCAGCGGTGCATTAAGTCGTTAAAGTGACGCTTTAAAGTGAAATTAACCATTCTAGATGATGACTACTTTTACTTTTTGGTACTTTTACTGCATTTAGTTGCTAATATTTCTCTACTTTTACTTTTATTCTTTTAAATACATGACTTTTCTACACTGTAGTGCAGCTACTGTCACTGAAGTGAAGGACTAGTGTGTGTGTGAAGGATTTTGGGGCATCTAGCTGCACAACCAAAAACAAAGCTTATAGCGATTATTTTGACATATTTGTTGTTTTCTTACACTTTGAGAACAAAATCTGTAGTTGAGGGAACGTCTGAAGCTTCACAGTACTTCATTATAACTCAGTTGTGTCATATATTTTAACATTTAATCCTGAATCTGAAGCTTCACCCTCCAATTCGGAGCGCGAAGGAGAAACTACGGTGGCTGCGAAGAGCCAGTGTTTGGTTTGTCCCTTCAGGGCTACTGTAGGAACATGGCAGCATATTTTAAGTATATTTCACATTATATTCAATCACTTTTTATACAATTATCCGTCTGTATTGTGTTTTTCTTTGTATATTATTAACAAAAATAAAAAAAATTCTGACAAATTCAGTGTTTTCTTGACGCATTTCTTCCGGTTGTTTGAACTTTATCTCAAGCAGCACGGGGCTGTTTATCAGAGACTGACGGCTCTGTGAATATAGTTTGTATTTAGACCTTTTAAAGTTTAGACCCCCCCTCTCCCTCCTCCTCTATGTCCCTATATTCATCCACCCACCGCTCTCCCCCCCTCACCTCACAGTCCTGTTGAAGCAGTAGGAGCAGAAGCGATGTCCGCACTGGGCTTGGAACGGCCGTCGGAGTATGTTGTGGCAGCAGTTGCACAGGTGCTTGTCCTCCAGCTTGTTGCCCAGGATCTTCTTGGGGAAGCCGGGTTTATTGCTCTCCATGGACGAAGGAGGGGACGGTTCCTGCGTGGCCATGGTGGTGTCCGCTCACACGTCACGCCTAAAGGGAAAAAGAGAGAGAGAGAGAGAAAGGGATGCAACAGTTGCACAAAAAAACAAAAAAATCTGCCTTTAAAAACGTCGGCCTCATATCATATGTGTGTGTGTGTGTGTGTGAGTGGAGTCTTCTACATGAGCAGCAGCAGTAATGGTTCCTCTCAGGCCGGCTGAAAAGGCCCACACCCTTTGTTTACATTCCCCACTCTGCTTCCTGTGGCTGACTTATGGTCACTCAGTCTCTCTCCTGGTGAAACGAGGATGCTGACAAAAAGAAAATCGCACATCCATTGTCTCTCCTGCTTTTTTCTTTTTTTTTTTATATTAACCCCCCCTCTCCTTCCTCCTCCTCCTCCTCGTCCTCCTCCTCCTCTTTCCTTGTCGCTGTTGCTAAGCTATCAGCATCCTTTCAGTCAGAAGTGGTACCCAGCACACGCCGCCACGCCCCTTTAAAAATCCGCCTGCTCTGCCCGCAAACATTTCCTCTCTTTTATTTTATTCTGTGCAAACAAATCGCTGCAACATCACCAGAGGTTCGCACCTACCTGCCTTCTTTTTGTTTTTTTTAAGGTTTTTTTGGTTTTTTTTTTGTTTAATCTAAAGTGTCATCGCGTGCAGAGGATGTGAAATCACCTGTCCTGGTCGCAGGTCGTCGCGCGCGCACTGTGCCGATGTGGTGTGTGGTTCTGCAGCCGACTGGAGGTGTTTCCTTCAACGTTAGCCACATAATATAGATGTGGTCCCCAAAAAGCGACGGCTGTTATTGTCCAATATCGCCATTGCACTTTCAGACTGGGTGTTACGTCATGCAGGGGGAGGGGAGGGGAGAGGGAGAGGAAGGGAGAGGGAGGGAGGGAGGACACGGGTTGATAGGCAGACGAGGTGAGGATGCGCGGCTGTGATTGGTTCACAGCTCCAGGGTGGGCGGGGCTGCTGTTTTTTATTGTGGAAGCAGAGAGAGCGAGAGAGAGAGAGAGAGAGAGAGAGAGAGAGAGAGAGAGAGAGAGACATCCGGATACCAGATTAATGCACATTGCATGTTTTTGATTTTAAATGCTCCAAAAGCTGCAGCTGGTTGGTGTTTGGGTTTATTTTATTTTATTTTTATCTTTATTTTTATGGAAGTTCTGCCAGTGGGAAGTCAAGATAATGAGAAAGTTTCTCAAAATAATGACTCAGTATCTTAAAATAATAAGAAACCTCAATATGTTGGCATATTATCTATAATTAATGAGTAACTTTCTCAAAATGTTGACTTATCTGTAAAAAAAATAAAACGTTTCTAATTATTTATGGATAATAGGCCAAAATAATCAATATTTTGGCCTATTATCCATAAATAATAATCAATACTTGACTCATTATCTAAAGTTTCTCAAAATAATGACTTAGTATCTATTAGTAATAATGAGAAACTTTATCAATATTTGGAGATAATAAGTCAAACTATTCAATACTTTGACTTATCATCTACAAACAAATTAGAAACCTTGTCAAAATAATGATTTAGTATCTTAAAAATAACGAGAAGCCTCAATATTTTGACATATTAGCTATAAATAATTTGAAAGTTTATCAATATTTTGATATATTATCTATAAATAATGAGAAGCTTAATCAATACTTGGAGATAATAGGTCAAACTATTCAATATTTTGACTCTTATTTTGAAAGTAATATCTCAATCCAAATATAAACTGTTTATAATTTTATGTCCATAAAATAAAAATGATCCAATAGTAAGTTTAATTTATATCTATAACCTAATTACAATTTTACAGCTGTTGTTCTGAGTCAATCCCCATTTAATGGAAACCAGCCTCTGATCAATCAATACTACTGCTCATTGATTGAAACCTACATCACAAACTATACGTTGAGGTATTTCTAACACATAAACTGCACAAATATTTTAAAGAAAACGACACAGAAAGAATAAATTCAGGAGCTGGAAAACAGAAATGAGTCACGGCCGAGTGGGAGTGAAGAGGAACGAGAGGAAAAGAACCGTGTTTATATTTGGACGCTGAAGCAGAGCAGCAGATTTGTTGTTATATCTACTTGTACTCCATTACATTTAAAGTATTAGGATCAATAATCACTCACAGGTATGTTTTGGGACCAATAATCTACAGATAATCAATAATATAAGAGGTGTAAGATATTGATTTCCCTTTATTTTACCCTTTAAATGTGCAATATTGCACATTAGTTAAAAAAGGGGGAAATGTTAAATATTTTGGGGAAAAAATAATACATTTTTTTGTTATTTTAGTCTAAATACATTAAAAACAGTAACTAATTGATTTTTTAATAATTCATTTTATAAATATTTGATATAAATATTTCTACATGGTTGCCCATTTAAAGGTTAAAGTAAAATTATTAAATTATTTATCATGAAAATGTACTTAAAGTATCAAAAGTAAAAGTGCTCATAAGTACCAAGTAAACAAGTATATTATTCTAAATTATTATATATTATTATAGCAGCATTTTTCTCTTGTGGTTGTTTGAGGTGAAGCTAATTTGAAGATATTTTAGATATTTTAGCTGATGATTATTTTCATTATTGATTAATTTGCTGCTTATTTGGACTCAAGTAAAGAACCTCGAAAGTTTTTATTATAATTTTTGTTTTTAATCTGTTTCAGTGAGTTTCCAGAGTCGAAGTTTGCTTGTTTTTATTAGTTTTAGTTTTAGTTTTAGATGCTTTTAATTATAATAGGTATATGGAATATGACAGGGGTCAGATTAAATAAGTTTATAATAGTTATTATAGCACAAACACACTGATAAACATGTACATATAAGCCTCCTCGTGCTTGTTTTGTTGAATAATTTAACCAAATTGACAAAACTAAAAACATTTCCTGCATATTTTAAACTTATTTTACTGACTTGACTGAAGTACACAATATTGTTTCAGATAGTTTACTAAAATCTACTTTTCACACCTTGTTTGAGCTTTTATTTAACTCCAACAACCTCTGCGAGCGCCAAACTAATAAAAAAACACTCTGAAAGTTCGACAGACGCTGCACGAGAGACGTTTATTTTTGGACTGCGACACACAGTTAAAGGCACAGTCTGTGATCTTACATGTAAACAAAAGGGTTCATAACCATTAAAAACACTCCTGAAATCACTGAAACAGGTTTCAGTGGTAAGTAAAACAGGACGAATAATTAAATTATGATCAGTTAAGAAGCGCTTCGGATCAATAAGTGAAGAAAACAAGTAAATTAAATGGTTAAAACCACATTTACAATAAAAAACTGTTGATTTTGTCTCATTTTCATATTATTTAAACATGTTTTCACTTAGCAAAGACTACTCACTAAGAAGTTATTGTCTATAAAAGCAGTCAAAAGATATTGTACAAACGTCCCCAGCTGAGTGATTTATATATACACGACATAAATATAATTAATTGGCAGCTAAAAACAACAATAAACAGCACAAATTGACCTTTTAAGGAATGTTTGGAAAACATTGAAATAGGACCTTTGGACCTTAAAAATCCCACTATTGTGAAATACAAAATAAAAAGCTCTTACATAAATACTACATACATATATTTATATATTTATATATATATATATATATATATATATTTATGTATATATATATAAATTCTCTTGGCTAACACTGGCACACTAACACGCTGCTTCAATTTATCCTCCAGCACAATATTTTGTTCAGAAAAGAGTCCTGAGAAAGGAGAAAGAAGCTATTATTGCACAATTTTAAAGGTTAAAAGTTCACACAAGTTTAAGGAAAGCTTTTCTGTAACGTCCGAACTGATCCGAGGATCTTCAGTGATATAAAAACAACCCTCCCAGTATTTTTAATAAAAAGATAAAGCTTCTGTCCGGACAGGCCAACAATCTTCTTTTTAAGTCTCCTCGAGCAGCTTCCGGAGGTTTCTTTGAATCTAGGGTTTAAAAATATGAAAATATGCACATTAAAACATAGTAAACTGCTATTAACTGTAATAAATTACTATAAATATACTTCATAAATGCCTTCTAATTGAGGAGTTGGAGCAAAATTTGGGAAATAACAGAAATGTCTTAAACCTGCATTTTACGTAATGATCAGCAGGGGGCAGCGCCACCATTCACTCTAATGGAGAAATGAGCCGACTTCTTGCTTCATTTATAAGCTCAGTAAACAGTTTCCTGATGAGTTTATGGTCTCAATCTCTAGTTTCAAGCCTTCTTCAATACAGCATGATGTTCATTTAGTAAATTGTGGCCCCATTTGAAGTAAAATAGACGATAAAGAAGGGTATGCTTGTGATTGAAACTCAGATCAAACTGTCAAACTAGGCAGTGCTGATCAAATCTGGATCCAGATTCTGTTACTGTGACGATTATTTCTCACTTAAAATCATCAAATAAACATATTTCAACTTGTTTATCTATGATTTTAGTATATAACTTATATATTGTTACTTCCTGGAGTATATTTTGGTTTTTGTACAGATTAAACTGGCAGCTGATAGGCAGATTCTGTTACCTTTGGATAGAACCCTCTGTTTACAGTCTTTATGCTAAGCTAAGCTCCGCCCCCTCTTTGGTTAGATAATATGAAACGTTTTTCCCTGTATGCAAATCAGGTCATAACATTTTGATATACGACATACGGATGAACCGGACCAAACCTTTTCAAGCTTGAACAAGTTGGTCGACAGCTCTCCGTAGATCTCAGCATTCATTTCACTCTGGGACCTGTGGCTCACAGCGTTTCTGCAACGACATCAACTAAACCATCAACCAAACAAATAAGAAATAAAACAGTGTGAGTGTATTTAGAGACAATAATGGTGCCTATGGTAGAGAAAACATGGCTCTCTCAGGCCTTGGACCACAGACCCCTGTGACAACAGGCCTGCCAACGCTACCTAAAACAGTGGTTGGGGGTCTGGGGGTTTAAAAGGGGTCCTTGAGTGGGTTGTAGGGGGTCTCCAGCAAGAGGAGGAATATAATATTTTAACTTTTATCAGATTTTTTGGAAAGGAAAGAAATAGGGTTAAACTGTCTTTAATGATTGACTATTAAAACCTAAAAGTGCAAAAAAGAAACTCTTCTTAAAGACAAAATCCTCTGAAATTGGCGGCTATTGTGGAGTTCCTTGATATGGAAAAAGTCTGGAAGCCCCTCATTAATATATATATATATTTCAGTTCAGTTTAATTCGCTCTTACTCATTGCGAATGTGTTCCCCCATCGACACCAGGGAGTTCAAACGATGCTCCAGAGCCACAATCTTGAAGGCCATGTAACAGGAGGACAGGACCAGAACACTCACTCTGTTCGAGACAAACAAACACAAGAACAATAGCCAACACGCCCAAATAATAGAAACGCATTTTACTGAGAAATCAAACTATTGTCTTCTCGTATTGCACATAATGAAAGGTTACTCACAAAAACAAATAGATGAGGAGGATGGCGTGTAACGACATGGGCTGCGAGGACTTGTCTTTGACTGCTCGGGTCGGTTTAGTTGACCCTGTAAAGGAAAAAAGAGAAATATTGATCTGATAGTCTGAAATATATGAGCAGCAATATTAAAATATTAAGAAGATTGATACCGCTCTCGTGTCTGTACGGTAAATATGAAGCAGGAGCCTTTGAGACAGTTAGCTTAGCTTAGCATAAAGACTGGAAACAGGGGAAACAGCTAGTCTGAATCTTTAATATGACCAAATTTAAATATTTTGATGTCTAAATCTAAACTTTCTAGTCTATGGGGTCATTTCTCACATGAAAATGTGTCATTAACTGTAACATAAATCCATCTTAAGTGGTATATTAAAAGCTGAAAGTATTACTTCCTACATACATAAAATCCAAAGAATATAATGATTATTATATTAAAAGAAACTTTCATTCACACCACAATTAGTTATATTTAATCTGTACAAAACTTAAAGTATAAAAATGACACCCATATATCGTTGTGTTCATTGTTTATGTTTAATAATTAAATTAATATCATAAACATACGACTAGAAGAGTCTAATCTTAATAAACACTATAAACTGACATTAAATACACAAAGTATTTAAGTATTCAAAGAGGAAACAAATGAGCAAAAATCACATCAATCAAGTCTATTTAATTATTTAACTGAATATTATCTAGATTTGTCTTTTATTTTCTGTATTTAATTAGTTACATCTGTTGTAAACTGTGTAGTTATGCTCAGTATGGTTGTGTATTTCAGCACTAACAGATCAATTACTCTCGCTTTATTTGTTTTATAACGATTATGTCCTACTGAATCTCTTCTGGGAAAACACTGAAACCCAAAACTACAGACGTATAAACAAAGCTGTTTTCTTTCTTTCTTTTTTTTTTAATCCCAGAGATCCGGTATCAGAACTACCGTTCATGAGGGGAACGGCTCCATGCTTTTGGCTCGGAGTCTGGAGGTGAATGTCTGCGTGGACCGAAACCTCTCCGCTCTTCACTGCGCTCAGAAACGTGTCCGGCAGGCCGCTGAAGTCTGAGCAAATAAAACAGAAAACAAGCCTTGTGTGACTCCCTTAAGAGTAAATATTATTAATGGAAACACAAACTCACTGTCATATAAACTGGAGATGTACTTCATTATTCAACAGGGATCATCGCTGGGTTCATGCCAACTGTCTGTACAATAACAAACCCTCAATGGGTCCAATTTCACTTGGCTAAACTCCAGCTATTTGCAAACCAAAGACTGTCTGAGCCACAGTGGCAGCTGACATTGTTAACATTGTAGAGAATATAAGGTGTGTACAGTAGATTAGCTTAAGTATATAGCAGCGTGGTGTGCATGGAGGGTTGAGGATGGAGCACAAACCGGTTATTTTCTCATAATCTGGTGTTTGAGAGCCGGAGCTGCTGCTCTCCATCATCTCCTGCCGCCTTTGTTGCACAACCCCGTCGAGGTCGGAGAAGTCTCTGGAGAAGTCCTGCAAAAGCGCACATACAGGGAAAGATATAGAATGGTTGTCGACACATACAAGAGGGAGTGTTGTATAACATTAAGAAACAAGGTGTTTTCTATAGATCCTCTATCACAATGGATGAAAATAATAAAAAATAAATAAAATACGCCCAGAAAACATGGCCCCAGACTGACCAGAGGAAGAGACTGCGGGCATTTCACTCTGAAGCTGTTTTCACAGGAGGACGTAACGGGGCTGTTACAAGTCTTATCCACCTGGAATAACAGAGTACACACACTTTAAAGCAGCATTAAGACTTTTGTTTTGCCACTTTACTGAAATATTATCACCTTATAAAGTTAGCATACATTAGCCTATTTCGACAGCAGCAACTTTTAATCGTGAATGCCTTTAGTTTAGTCTGAGGTATGGGTCCAAGAGGCTTTTCTGCTTCTTTTATCACGATACACATGCGTACCGATTTTCATGTTTCATTTACATGTCGGCCTTACGCGTTGTGGAAGGTGATTCAGGGGGGCTGGCATACGTGAGTTTTTGCCACGTATGAATTTTGTCCATATGTCCATGAGCTTTCGAGCATGTTGCGGCCACCAAATACGCAGTCAAACTGCAGCAAATAATAATTCCTAGAGATACAATAGGGCCTCATAGCAGTCGCTGGCTCGGTCCCTAACAAGGAAACAAAATATAAAAGATGAAGTGCAGAACTTGACTTGGTCTGAAAAATAAAAAAGATGCAAACAGTCATAATAAATGTAATAATGGTGGTGACTAAATGCGGTTACTGCAGTTTTAATGGGTGTACTAGAGGAGATTTTTGTTTTGACACACTTTTGTTTTTGTTTGGGATCTAATACCTAATATATTTTATATAATAATAATTCTGATAATAATAATAATAATAATAATAGCAATAATTAACATAATAATATTAATGATGCATGTTTTGAGGAGGGATCATTAATGTTGAGTAAATTATGATAATTGACAAAATGGAAGTGTTTATAACACATGTATTGAGACTAAAAAAGTGCATTTTGTGTCGATCATTAATGAAAGCATTCCAGCTTTGTGAAGCTGTTGTTTTAGACCTTTCAATCACTGGGATTGTTGGCAGGTTTTAAAACCTGTTTTGAATGTTTTTTGTGGAAAAAAGGGCAGTTATTTTGTTTCCATTTGAATCGCAGATAATTTGAAAGATTTCAATGTAAACATGCAGAAAAAAACAGAAACAGAAATGGAACTGTACGAATCAAAGCAAAATAGAATGGAACTGTACGAATAAAACCAAAATAAAGGAATTAAATAAAAAAAATAGAATGGAATAATTCCATTCTGTGATATCAGCAGGTCTGAAGTCTATAAGGTTCAGTCAGTCAGATCATTTCAATCGTTCAGACACATCTTTCGAAACTTTTCAACAAGTGACACCACTGTGAGACAAAGTGACAGAAACAAGAACACCTTCAAGTCAGACCACTGATACAGACCACATCTGTTCAGACAAACTGCAATTGAAGACAAGAGCATTACTTTGAGACTGATTCCACCAGCCAAAGAAAATGCAGCAAGTGAGAAACTCAAGACGTGACCAGAGGATCTCTCAACAGGAAGCCGCTGGCCACGCCCGGCTGAACCTCTTAGGGGAGTGCGATGCCCTTCGTGCACAAGTTAAGCAACTCAATGAGGAGTTGGATGCAGAGAGGGTCAACTGCTTCACCGAGAAGAACATGAGAATCCAACTTAACAAAGCATTGGATGAGTTAAGAGCCAACCTCCAGAAACAGAAAACCCTGAAAGAGATGTATATCAACAGGGAAAAAGAAACAAGGAGAGAGCTAGAGAGGCTGCGAAAGTACAGCGACACAGAAACTCTCAGCACAACAAGGATTGCTACTCAGGTGAGAGATAACACCAAGAGGAAGAAGAAAAAGCTCCTGCAAGTTGATTATGAAGAGCTCCAAGTGGCACACATCATCAACGAAAAGAAGTTCAAAGCTGAGCTTGATGTTGTGATGGAGCAGAACAACTTTCTCCAAAAAGAACTGGAGAACATCACCGCTTTGCACAATGAGGTCAGCTTAAAATATCAAGCTGAGGTCGTCACTGTCCAACAGCAGCCTGAGACCCTTCAGAGTGAGCTGGAACTCTATCAGAAGCAGTATGAAGAGTTCAATAGGGCATATACTCTCAGTGAACAGAAGTTCACTGCTGAGCTGCAAACGGAGAGGGAGCAGAACAACTCTCTTCGTCAAGAACTTGAGAAGATCACTGCTTCACGCACTGATGTCAGCCTGAAATATCAAACGGATGTTGTCAGTGTCCGACAGCAGGCTGAGACCCTCAAGTGTGAGCTTCATCGCTTTCAAAGCAATTATGAGGAGCTGAAAGCATCCCATATACTCAGCGAACAGAAGTTCAAAGCTGAGCTCAACGAGGAGAGGAAGACAAACAAGACTCTTCAGGAAGAACTGGAGAAGATCACCGCTTCCCACCACGCTGTCAGCCTGAACTATGAAGCCGACGTCATCAGTGTCAGACAGCAAACTGAGACCCTTCAGCATGAGCTTGACAAGCAAATCAAGATTCATGCAGACACGGTGGCAGAGGGCTGGCAGGTTTACAGCCACTTGAGGGCTGAGCTGTGCGCCCTTCGTCAGCAGACGGCAAAGGAAATCAATACCCTGCAGCAAGACGCCTTGGAGAAAGAGAGCATCTGTGCAAGAGAGCTGGAGGAGCTAAAAACTCAGCTCAGCGTTCAGATCTCTCTCAACCTTGAGCTATCCATTGCACTCGAGGCGCTCAAGTCCCTCCCTGATGCACCGGCCATCGAAGCCCCGAATGAGGCTGAAGTTCAAGAGGAGCCGTCCATCCCTGCTGGACCTACCGTCCAACCACCGGACGAGGATCAAGTCTCCGAGGAGAACACCCCAGCGACACCAAAGACTCCATCAATGTGGAAGAAGACCCGTCACTTTCTTGGGTTGAGAAAACCACAGCGCTGGAAGAAGTAGGAGGACTCAAATCCACTTCACGTACGCAATCAACATCAGCGTACAGTGAAACTATTAAGTGCCTACCTCCAGAATAGAAAGAAGGAATGCATTTCTGGGTTTTCCCCGGGGACTCCGGTTCACCCAAAAGTCTGTCTAAAAACCATCTTTGACAGACTTTTAAAAAAACTTACGCAATCTACCTCCAGAACACTTCTATCAACATCCAAGAGAGGCACATGACATGACGAAGATGCACAAAACATCTGAATGCATTTTTTTTGGTTTTCCCCGGGTACTCCGGTTCACCTAAAAGTCTGTCTAAAAACCATCTTTGACAGACTTTTAAAAAAACGTACGCAATCAACATCAGCGTGAAACTACCTCCAGAACACTTCTATCAACATCCAAGAGAGGCACATGACATGAAGAAAATGCACAAAACATCTGAATGCATTTTTTTGGTTTTCCCCGGGGACTCCGGTTCACCTAAAAGTCTGTCTAAAAACCATCTTTGGCAGACTTTTAAAAAGATATATATATATAAAAATGCTATTCCTGCATATATGGTTGATATATTTTGTTATTGTACAATCAAATGTTTAAAGAACAATGAATCAAATGTAAGAAGGATACAATTTGTGGCAGATTTAAAATTCAGCCTCAGAGAATGCGTGTCCTCCTGTAACTTTATCTAGGAAAGAAGAAACGTCTTCACATTCACCAAAATTAGTGTTTGAAATATATCTTGATGGTAGAACAGAACACTTTGTACAATGCTGCATTCAGTCTAATGTACATTTTAATGTACAAAGAAGTTAATTGAGGTGTGCAATATGTTAAAATGATTACATGGATCTTAAATAATGGTATGGAAATCAACAAACTTCTTAGAAAAGGTTGAATTACCATGTGGATGATGAAGGAACCGACTACATGGTATATTATAACTGTCAATTCATAATGAAAAAAGGCTTTATGAGGCAAAATATGTGATTGCCTTTAAGTACACTAGTATTTCACTATTACTGAATATTATCAGATAGACGTGTTTAGGGCGGGACTCTTATCAAACATGGGAAGTTTCGTTGCGATCGGATCATGTACGCAGAAGTTATGACGACTTTCTGTTTTCATGGCCAAGGATCGAAATTGGACGCCACGGGACGCCACACCACGTCCCACTGTTCGACGGATGTGGTAAATAGCGCAACTTTTAATCCTGAATGCCTTTAGATGGCTGTGTCCAAGTGTGGAGTCAATCCTATAAATTCCATGCATGCAATGCAACGGCGAAAATCGCCAGAAATGACCACAAAATCCAAAATGGACGACTTCCTGTTTAGTTTGAGGTATGAGTCCAAGAGGCTTTTCTGCGTCTTTTATCACGATACACGTGCATGCCGATTTTCGTACATGTCGGCCTTACAGGTTGTGGGGGCTGATTCGGGGTGGCTGCACGGGGACAAGTGCATATGTGAGTTTTTGCCACGTATGAATTTTGTGCAAATTTCCATGAGCTTTCGAGCATGTTGCAGCCGCCAAAAAGATACAATACAGATTCCTAGAGATACAATAGGGCCTCACAGCGGTCGCTGGCTCGGTCCCTAACAATGAAACAAAATATAAAAGATGAAGTGCAGAACTTGACTTGGTCTGAAAAAAAAAAAAGATGCAAACAGTCATAATAAATGTAATAATGGTGGTGACTAAATGCGGTTACTGCAGTTTTAATGGGTGTTTCAGAGGGGATTTTTGTTTTGACACATTTTTGTTTTTGTTTGGGATCTAATACCTAATATATTTTATAGAATAATAATTATGATAATAATAATAATAATAATAATAATGCAATAATTAACATAATAGTATTAATGATGCATGTTTTGCAGAGGGATGTCATTAATGTTGAGTTAATTATGATAATTGACAAAATGGAAATGTTTATAACACATGTATTGAGACAAAAAAAGTGCATTTTGTGGTTCTCAACCGATCATTAATGAAAGCATTCCAGCTTTGTGAAGCTGTTGTTTTAGACCTTTCAATCACTGTTATTATTGGCAGGTTTTAAAACCTGTTTTGAATGTTTTTTGTGGAAAAAACGGCAGTTATTTTGTTTCCATTTGAATCGCAGATCATTTGAAAGATTTGAATGTAAAGATGCAGAAAAAAACAAACAGAAATGGAACTGTACGAATCAAAGCAAAATAGAACGGAACTGTACGAATAAAACCAAAATAGAACGGAACTGTACGAAT